TATAAAAGCTGCTAAGGGAGAAAACCAATCAATGGTCCTACCCCACGGTAAAGTCTATGAGCCACAGCAATGACCAACACAGCAAACAATCTCTTTTTGTGCAGTAGTGATACTTTTCCCTTTTGGATAATCAACTGATGCCTAATTAGTCTTAAAGCCCATTCAGTGGGAAAGAACTCATGTGTGGTACCATTAACATGGACAGGTATACATGACTGGAGAGTTCAGAGAACCTAGAGAAAAACCTGTCATTTCTTTAAACCAACATTATTTCTCACTGTAGTCTAAATATGAATCCTTATATTTTCAGACAAGTGTTCCTCTCATCACTCATCAAAGAAGCTTCTTTTTGCAACAGACAGAGACTATTATGAAGTTTCACATTTGGTCAAACCCTGAAAATAAGGGTCTATGTGGTGCCGAGGCCTAAGTGACACATCTATACAGCAACTTCTACAACTAAGGCTCAGGAAACATTGAGGAAGAGGAGGTGGAAAGAATGCAAGAGCCAGAGGGACAAGAAACCTGCTGCAACTTAATGCATTCTAAATAAGATATGAAAGTTACACCACTGAAATCTTCATAGTCTGTCAGTCTAACAAGATTTGCATATAGTGGGAAAAAATGTTGATGTGCCTTGTGCTCTGTTGTATAAGGAAGCTCAGCTCCACTGTTGAGATAGAGAGATGCACTAGTTTTATCTCTACCCCCTGTTTCGCTATTTCATAAGCCTTAGGTGTAGAGGTTCAACTGTAGATGTGTCACCTAGAACTGGGCATCTCTCAGAAGTATGTTGTCACATGTTCTTTCTCATAGCTGGATGCTAACTTTGAAATTTTAGATATGTATATTTCAATTTAAAAGTTTAGAGAGGTCAAGAAAATAATAAACGACTAGGTGGGAGGCTTCCTGGAAGGGGTGATATAATGCAGTGATATGAAGGGGGAACAGAGAATATTACACTAGAAAGGGTTAAATGGGGTGGGGAATGGGAGGGCAGGGAAAGGAGTATAGGGAGGGATAAGAAAAAGCCATATGGAAACCTATCACCACAGAAGCTACTTAAAGTATATAAATACACATAATAAAAAAAAATTAAAAGGATTTATCCTATAACTGGGAGACATTTCCCATTCTAGGTATAATAGGCTATTGGAGGGAAAAAGGCTCAGTTTCAGGAATGGACTCCTGCTCTATAAGCTATTGACCTGAGGTATCAAAACATTCAAACAATATTCACCATTACCCTAATCTTGGATACCCACCAGAATTGGAGGATAAAACCCGATTGCTGAAGATGCTATATACATGAGCTTTATAACAAATAAGGAGAAATCAAGCTGGTGCTGATGCAGAGCTTCATCTCTACTGTCTAGCTTTCATATTGCAGAAAGGTGCTATGCAGGCACATGCTACTTGAAAGAAAACAATCATCAGCCTCACCTGACTCTGAATCCTGTGAACTACATTAACAATTGGTCTGCAAATATATTCTTACCAGTGCAACAGTGGCACAGATATTATGGGAGTAAACAAAGCCCTTTATAATTGGCTTTAAGGCCCACTTACTAGGTTGGAGCCTTTACCTGACCTTGCTATCAAGCTTAGGAATCTGAGGTTAGACAGCTCATAGGACATAGGGGAGAAGCTAAAACTAGTTTTCTACTATAATATTATTATATTCACCTGACTCAGTGAATTATTGCTATATCCACAGATTAATGCATCTCTCAATAATCAACTGAGAAGTTTCCTTATGCAACAGATCTTAACACAAAAACCCTCAACTGACCAAAGAGCAGAGAACAATAAGCTAGCTATAGAATGATTATCCTTGAATAGGACACCTATATCAAACATCTGTCCCCCAAGGCTCAGGGATCATTGTGGAAGAGGGGCAGAAAGATTGTAAAAGCCAGAGGTGGTGGATGACCACACCACAAGGAAACAGACTTCTAGACAGCTTGCCAGTTATCCATATAAACTGACAGCAAATTTGACAGGATAGACAAGTCACATTCAAGCTCAAACTAAAAAAAAATACCAGCATAGACATGAAGAAGTTGTAAGAAGCTACAACCCCACCTGTGAAGATGACTTCTGGGAAAAGCAGAGACAATCTATTTTAAGCATGGGACTCTTGGCAGCTTTAACAGGATCTGGTGGATGGCCTCATACTGAAGGACATTTGGGGGCACAAATTTGCCTCTATAGGCCTTACTATACACGAATACATTAAATTGGGCAGGGGGCAAGAGGAGGAGATGGGGATAGGGGAAGGGAACTTAAATATCATCAAAGTACATTGTATGAAAATTGCAAAAACATAATTAAAAAGAAAACCAATTAAAAAATACTCCCACAAGTTTATTGAATTCTAAAAAACATGAAAAGCATATTTACTTATAAGTTGGTGTCAACTTACAAAGTTCTATACTGTGGAAAGACTTTGGTAGTTTTATCAAGTCAAATGCATGTTGACCATAAAACCTACCTCTACTATTCATAGATATTTTTCTCTTTCTTTTTTGGCCTTTTATGAGACAGGGTCTCCCTGTAGCCCCAGCTCTCCTTGAACTCACTATGTGGACCAGGCTGTGGCCTTGAACTCACAGAGATCTGCCTGCCTCTGCCTCCCGAGTGCTGGGATTAAAGGCTTGTGCCACCACGAAGAAAATCTATCCATTGATATGGTTGCACATTTTCATACTCCAGATGTTTATTAATAACTTTATCTGAAAACAACCCAAATACCTATATAAATTGGAAAGAGATGAAAAAACTGTAAAACATGCATAAAAAGAGATGCAACTAAGCAACACAATGATCTTCCATATCAGAAACCATGACTCTAACATAAGCATAAATAAACCCAATCATTGCACCACAATAAATGAGACACAAAAGACTACACAGTGTGTGATCCACAGTTGTTTATGTGACATAGTAGAGAATAAAGTGCAAGAAGAACAGTAGTGAAATAGTGATTCCAAGGACATGGAGGAAGCCAAAGTTTGGCTACAAAGGGAATAAAGAAGTGTTTGAGAGTTATGGAGGAACAGGAATATTTGTTATGAAGCTTCTCAGTTTACAAACTTTTTAAATCTCAAATAACTACAAATAAGAGGGGAGATTATGAATTGTGAATATTATATAATACTTAAAATTAATAACAGCAGTTAATCAAAACAAATATGTATTTTTAATATTTTATTTTGTTTTTTATGTGTATGCATGTATTGCCTGCATGTAGGTAAGTGCACCCATGTCGTACAATACCCACGGAGAACAGAAGAGGCTATAGTATCCCCTGGACCTGGAGTTACAGACAGTTGTTATCTGCCATGTAGGTGCTTGGATTCAAACCTGGGTCTTCTGCAAGAACAACCAGTGTTCTTAACTGCTGAGCCATCTCTCCAGCCCCAACAACAAATATGTATTTTAAAAATATAAATGTGAAGTTAAATTATTTTAACTATCTACAAACCATTTAGAAATAAGATTAACATTGTTCAAAGATATAGGAAAGAAAATAGAAAGGTTCACAAATATGCTTTCAATTATTTTGATAGAACTCAACATAAAAGACTCAATAGTTTATAAATTACATATACTTTTGGATATCATGAAGTTATGACTTTGTTCACTTGAGAAATCTCTTTATTCTATGTGTCTTACATCACCATAACGTATGTAATAAATATATACAATAAAAGGTATTTTCAAACAAGAATACAAAGCAAACTAGGAACACAAATTTTCTACAAAGCAAAGATGATATTTGCATATGGTAATGAAAGGAATATTCAATTATCCCTATTTCTGATGTTCCAAGAGGGTTACATGCTAAGAATAGCTTGTTTTTTTAACATATTAAAACAAAAACATTACATGCTTAAATTATTTTTTAAATTTATTTTTATTGAATTTTTGTGTATTTCATACAGACTATCTCAAATAATATTAATCATCTTTATACCCTTGTCTCCACTGGCGGCCACCCACAGCCCCACCCTCACTGGAACCCATATACTCTTGTCGTCAGTGTTAAGGCCCACTCTCTCAATTCAGTGTAGATGCTATGTGAGGAAGAACTGGTCTTCCTAAAACAAGGGACTCTAGGTAGGCTTACTAGACCACAGTGGATGCTTAAATTATTTTTAAGTCTATAGGTAGAACATTTAAGTTCAATACAATTTTAGGAACACAATGCTTCTACAAAACTCTTATTTGCTAAATTCTACAACAATAAATGTGATATGAGAAATACATACTGTTTTTCAGAAAATCAAAATTACACTTGTTAACTAATAGGGAATAACATAAAATATGCTTAAAGCTTGGCTTCAGGGTGCTATGTAAGTACTAGAATCTAGCTGCAACATCAGCTGTATGCCATCTAGCAAAATCGTCCATTGAGAGTGTCTTTAGATGGGCAGAGTACCATCTCCTACTCAAATACCCAAAAGTAAAAGAGAGGGACACTGAAGTGTGAAATGGAGTAATCTGAAATCAAAGTGCATAATATGATGAATAAATTTATGATAATGATTAATGAATAATTTTGGTTACAAACATCTTTTTGAGTCCAAAGAACATGTCCATTAACTATAATCCTATCTCATGAATGTGAATGATAAACATCCTCAAACTCTCATGAATGTAAGTGATCAACAGTCTCAAAATCTTGAGTCTGAGTGCTCATGAATTCTCAAATTTTCTTCTGATTTCTCAATTGAAAATAATGAACTATCTTCTTTAACTCGCACTTCAATGCTAACAAAAAAACTACATTCAAGGGAGCTCAGTTTTATGTTGTAATGGGATACAACCACATGCCTTTTAACAGTTTTCCTGAGAGTCTCTTAAAAAATCAATTTTAATCATGATGGTGAAATTATTATTTCTTTTTGGTAAAGGAAAGTATCAGAGGGAAATCTATTGATTAAAACATACCATCATTTGTTAGAATGTATTTCTTATTCTTTCTGTTTGATTATTCAGTGAGGAGATATTCTAATTCTTTCTAAAGTTAACATCATATACCACAGTTTTTCCATAGACTTCTTCATCTCTGAATTTCTCAATGTGTATATTAAAGGATTCAACATAGGAGTAACAACTGTATAAAATACAGTGATGAATTTATCAGTAGCAAAATTAGAAACAGGTCTAACATACATAACAATACAGGGAACAAAAAAGAGGACAACCACCATGATGTGGGAGCTGCAGGTGGACAGGGCTTTGCGCCTCCCCTCCTGACTATGAGTCTTAAGAGAATTTAGAATGATTCCATAAGAGACTATGAGAAGGATCAAGACCACAACACACATGGCTCCTCCATTAGCAATGACACTTATGCCAATGAAGTAGGTATCAGTGCATGCAAGTTCTAATAATGGGGACATGTCACACATGAAATGGTCAATGACTTGGGGTCCACAGAAAGGAAGGTTGTAAACAAACATAATTTGAATCAGAGAATGTGTGAAACCTCCCATGCAGGTCACCAATAACAAGATGACACAAACCCGTCGATTCATGATGGTCATATAGTACAATGGTTTACAGATTGCCACATAACGATCATAGGCCATGGCCACTAGAATGATAATCTCACTACCACCAAATAAATGCATTATAAAGAGTTGGATCATGCAAGCTGTGAAGGAGATGGTCTTTTTATCACAGAGTAAGTCTATAATCAACTTTGGTGTAACAGCCGTGGAATAAACAATATCTAGAAATGATAGACAGGCAAGGAAGAAGTACATTGGGGAGCCCAAAGAGGGACTGGCTATAACAGTAACTACAATGAGTAAGTTGCCAATGATTGTCATAACGTACATTAGTAAAAACATGACAAATAATGTCTTTTGCCCAGCAGGATCCTGTGTGAGGCCCAGGAAGACAAATTCTGTAACATTATTGCTCTGGCCCATTGATTATTATTTTCAGGCTTGTTCAGAGATAACAGCTCAGGAGTACAGTACCAGCCATGAAGTTGTTGAACATGACTGCGAATTCATTATGTCTTGGACCACATCTTTATCATTGTCCTCTAAAGTGATGAAACTGCACAAAGACATTTTGGAAACAATTCTTGAGTTCTTACAGATATCAAAGAGACTTACTATAGATAATTCTATTTACACTATGATGACTTTAACTACCCTTCAACTAGTACTATGTATCTCAAGGCCTCAGGGGATCTCTGTGTCTTAGTCAATAAGAAATGACATTAGACTTCAGAAATCTACTCTCTGTGGTGTTAATGAGAAATCATTAGCTCAGTGAATGAAGGCAGTCATTGGAACTGGATTTCTTTGCAAATAATATCTTCAAAATACTGTCTTAATCTCTAGCACCAATGAAATCATTGTGGACATGACACCATCTGACTTACACTTCTCAAAATAATTTCAGATTTTATGGAATAGTAATTGAATTGTAAGAGATTTGACTTTAAATTATATCAAGTACCTATAAATGCATTTAACACATTTCTGTCTGGAGGAATCATTTCAAATAATTTCTATGAGAATTTTGGTAGTCACAATACAATTCTGACCACAAAAACATTGCCTTTGCTGAAATCATATAACTTACATCCGTTATACTGATTTAAACAAACATGGTTAAATTTAAATCCTTTAATCAAAATATTATGAACCACTTCAGGAGCTACAAGAATTTCTAGGACTCTTAAATGACCTAGGGAGTGGAACAGGAGAAAGTAGAGACTGAAAACTAAGGCAAAGAACAAAAACGTTGGTGTTAAGTATAGATTTCCAGGATCGGAAGTTCTCAATAGAAAAACAGTGTCCACATCCCTAAGAGCAGCATTTTAAAGGCAAACGTCCATTCCATACTCATTGTGAGAATGTACAGGTCTCTGGCTTTTTATAGATTAGTAAAAATATGACACAAATTACACATGAAGAAATAAAAAGATTAAGTTAAATTATTGCGTAATCCTTTCCAATCAAACTACCTACAAGATAGTAAAACCTCAACACTTTCCATTTGGAATGTTTCTTTTCTTTTTAATATTTTCATAGTCATGTAAAAATTTCCCAAGATGCTTGCTGCTTTTTGAAAATGGTAACCATTGTTAAATGGATTATAGCAACTGCAATCACCAAAAAATGTTTCATAGTTTCTCAACAAATGCTAATTAAAGTGGACCCAATATATTTGGCAAGAGAGCATAGGGCATGGCTGAGCAATATGGGGTCTAGTCTAGAGTCATGTATCTTCTTTGCAATCTTGGGTTCATCAATCTAAGGCAACCTTTGACCACAAAATAAACCTCACTATGTCCCACTTCATCATTTATACTACAGGAATATTTATTCCTCTTGTCAATTTCTTGCTGTTACCACCCATAAAGTATAGAGCACTGCTCACAGCCTATCACATATAAATATGAATGCTGTTAGTACTGTTTTGCATGTTTTACTATAACCAAATACAGTAATTCATGTCCATCCCTGTCAAAAGAATCACTACATTTAGTCCAAGATATAAATGATACTGTATCGTAAGATTAACTTGCATATCCTAGAAATTGTGTATTTACCACAGGAAATGTTTACCTGTGAAGGAATGAATTTCTCACCAAGTAAGCAAGAGGATTGTTTGCATGGGTTTATTAGGGGAAAAGGGCATGCGGCATTGTCTTCAGAAGCCAATACTGATGCTCCTTCTGGGCCTATCATGCTCATTACAGTCAGCATCTGATCCTGGGGATCTGTACTTGAAGAATCTACAGACTGATAGCAGCACATCTGTTATGTTTCAAGGGTCAAAGTATTCTATGTCCAATAATCATTCTTTCCTTCACTTTCCATAACTACCCAGTGCTTTATTCTAACAGGTCAAATCAGCTATTGCCCAGTTTAAGCTCAAGTCCTTAAATTACAAAATAAAGTTCTTCAAGACTGTGTGCTATAAAACTGGAGAAACATGGTTATGCTTTTAACACTAGCCTTATAAATTTTGTAAACATTAATTTGATAATTTTTTAGTTTCTTGAGACTGGGTCCCCCTATAGAAGCACAGCTTGCCTGGAACTAGTTAAGTAGATGAGCCTGGTTTACATCTCACAGAGATCCACCTGCTTCTGCCTCCATCAAACTAACAAAGATATGTTCTATGACATCCCACTCTTGATAGTATTAAGGTGCAGTAAATACTTTACTACTCATGAATTGTAGAAATTCTCCCAAATTCAAGCATCTGGATAAAGATCCAGATAAAAGCCCTTATAAAAGGACTTTTAAAGGGCAATAGTCTCAGATTCTTCCCCAAATATTTTTGTACCTGTGATTGTTAAAGTGCACATCATATAAATAATAACCCATCACACCTGTAACACACTTATGTTTGGTTTTTGATATGTTGTTGTTGTTGTTATTGTTGCAGTTGTTTTGAGACAATAACTTCCTAAAACCCCACAGTGGCATAGAAATCACTATGTATACCAGGCTTGCAGATATCTCACAGTGATCCACCTTGCTACTGTCTCTCAAGGACTGGTTATTAAAGACATGAACCACCACACCCAGGCTGACACCCTTTCTTACTTCATTCCTACCGGTGATCGTCCCTCAGAACTTTCTATGTACTTAATGCTTCTCATTTATTTTGCTGTAGTTTCCTTCATCAGCTCTTAATAAAATAGAATTCATCCTCTAGCAAATTCTCTAAAGAGGGGCTTATACAAATAATGTATCCTGAATTTTTGTAGCATTCAGCCATAAATGGGGCATGTATATCACACCCCTTCTGCAACCATCAGGGACATGAAGGGAACAAAATGACTGATTGTAAGAGTCAGAGGACATGGAGTATCAGAATAAAACCACATTTTCTGGACATAATAGGACTGCTGAGCTCATGAACTCACAACGGCTATGTTTGCCTACACAAGATCAAGATAGTCAATATTACAGCAGGTATAGGAATGGGTTATTGAGAGGGCTACCCTCAACTGAGGAGCTATGGAGAGTTGGTGTCTTCTGGAGGAGTCAGTTTTCTTTAAGGTTGTAACTCCTGGTTGGTCAGCCACGTTCCCGTGCATAGAACACCCAGAGCTATATGACAGCACAAATTAGAGTCAGTGTGCTTGGAACTTAAAAGAAAAGAAGACACAATATTGGCAGGAGTTAAGGAGATGGGATGGATATGAGAAGAATTAAATGGAGGACTTGGGGAAGAATATAACCAAAATATACTATGTGACATTCTCAAAGAAAATAAAACTATTAAAAGAAAACAAAGAGAAAAATTAGAAATTAAGACTAAATTTAATGCAGTTTTTAAGATCACGGTAGTACTTTAAAATAATCTTATAAATCTAGATGACAATAGATGAAAGACTCTCTGATAAT